ACTGTGGTTGCAACCAAGGGATGGCAGGGTTGGGGTAATGGTTGGACTCGCTGCTCTTAAAGGTCTTTCCAACCTAAACAGTTCATAGAATCATCGAATGTTTTGGGTTGGAAGGGACCCCTAGAGGTCACCCAGCCCAACCCCCCTGCAGGGAGCAGGGACACCTTGAACCACATCAGGTTGTTCACAGCCCCGTCCAACCTGGTTCTATGGTTCTAAGAATGAAAAGGGAGTAGTTTTGGCATTAGGTATTTCAAACAGGATTGTACAACACAAACACAGCTGTAGTTGAAGGAGGAAAAAAAAAGGAAGTGTTGGTATCCAGCCTTCCTTGGAGCCTGGGGGGCCCTTTACTCTGCTCAAAACAAACTTTCTGTACAGCCTCCCCTTCCAAACGTCCCAGCACACCCCCCCCTCCCATCCCCCCCGCCCCCATCAGAACAATCAAATAAACACAGAAAACATTGAGAAGTGCCTCCTTAGCATTTTTTTTTTTTCCTGGAGAACCTTTTTGTTTTAGAAACTGCAGGATGTACTAAAGTGTTTGATTATATTTCAAACCAGAGGCATTTAATGCCTCATGATCTGTATAATGAAAATAGAAAAGGAGGGGGGGGCAAGAAAGGAAAATTGTGGGGGGGGGAAAAGGCAGATTTTGAAAAATATTCCCTAACAATGCTACAAAAAAATCCTGACATTAAATACAGACAAACTGTATCGAATAAAAATTGCACTAGTCCTCTGGGCACATCAATAATAAATTAAATACTTAACAATTTCACTGATTAAAAAAAGACAGCACAAAATCCATAACAAAAGAACATAAAACCCCCCCAATACTGTATGTAGGAAAAGTGCACAAAGTTGCTTTATACATTGAATCTAAATAAAGTACCGATACATGTTAAATAGATAAATTGTCTTGCAAGACACTGCTTTTTGCATCAGTATTTACATATGCTTTAACTTCACGTACTCCAGCAGTGAGGCGGAGCTTCAATGGACCTAACTGTACACGACTTTGTGTTCTCATGAGCCACTAACGCCGACCGGGAAATAAAACGACCCCGAGGGGAAGCCACGTCTCCAGTCCTCATTGGCTTACAGCAAGGATCAGTTGCATTTCTAACTTCTCGTAAAAAGCTGGAAAACCAATTGGGGTGTTTTAAGTTGCTGTACATGTAAAAAAAAAAACCAAAAAACCAACCCACATTGCTAGACAATGATCATGCTGAAATTCATGAACGGAGTAGGGCCATGGCAGTGGTGAAACACCTATTCCACTTCCAATGTCTTCCAAGTACCCTGAAAGATGCCAGCTTTGATGCAGCGTGGCCTTTTTCTAGGAAAGGCCACAACTCGAGGGGACATCAGCACTGACAAGCATCTACATTGAAACATCTACATTGATGCGGAGCGGTATAAAAGGGGGTAGGATTATCAAAGAGAATTCATTACAGAGAATCTCTCCGTTCCTAACCCAGGAAGCAGAGCGAGTTCTTGGCTGGATATTGGTTCCTGTACTGAGCGCTAAAGCGCTGACCTGGATGCCACAGGGCGATCTCCATGATCTAACCCTAAGCACGGCACGGTCCCGCCGAAGGCAGGCACGTGCTTAAAGGCTTTGCCGTATTGCTAAGCAGGCTCAGCACCACAACGCCTTTCACTGCGCAACGCCACCCAGCGCCATCCGAGCTCGGCACAGAGCAGCAAGGTCTGCAGGGCATTTCGCAAGGATGATTTACAGGACTGCAGATCTGCTCCTGACCCCAAGGAGACCGATAGCAACGCTACCACTGGCAGCAGAGTAAGCGGGCTCAGCTGACAAGGAAGGGGCATCAGACGGGGCAGTGACACAGGTGAGGGCACCACCCTGCTCAGTGGGATGCCCATTTAAATTTAGGGTGAGTTTTACCAGAAAGGTGACAAAGTTCAGTGCGAAGGACTGAAGGATGAATCTCCATGGGAAAGTCAAGCAGTAACCTTCTGTAATCCTGCACAAGAAGCGCTGAGAGGGCAGTCATGCTGGCTATACCTTCGCATGGGTTATCAGGAAGAAAGGTATTTAACCCAGGGCATATTAAATGCAAACCAAAGGAGACCACGTAGCAGCACTGCAGCAGCAGCTACGCGCAGTGTAGATCTGCCTACGCCTGGTGTTACACACACAGCTGTATGCCTGGAGTCAGCCCTCTTCATCCAGTGATACGGCTCCAGAGTCGCACGTGGGAGCTCCAAGCAGAACGCAGTCCCTGCTCGCAAAGAAACTGTCCTGTGAACTAAGGCTTATTCATCCTAGCCTTCCTCTGAAATGGCATTGCAGCAACGATGGCGTTTTATGGCACAGCGCTTCATCCCACGTGCAGTCCTGAATCACTCCCGAGGGTGCCACAGCTGCACAGAATATGAATACAGACCAAGTGATCCGCCCTCTGCCAACCGCTAAGGGCACGTCCTACAGCTTCTACTCAGAGTTCAGAGGGAGTATGGCCTGATCAAAGACTGCAGCGTAGTTCCAGACCCGGCACTGAGCAGCTAAGAAGGGAGCAGGCAAGCCTGCGGGGTGCGCTCCCCCTCTAACCCACCAGCGTGCCGTGCATCAGCAGGTTCACGCAAGCCAGGAGCTACAGAGCCCAGGCTCAGCAGCAGCACCCTGCAGGCACAGCACTGGCCTTCTGGGACAGAAAGAGTGGAGAGATGGAGAAAATGCCATGAAAGGCATTGCTCACGATAAAAAGGCTGATGGGGCCAAGCTCACTAATTTTTATTTTCCAAGACTGATGGAAGGAGATTGTTTATTATTTAGGGAAGCATGAAAGGCCCTGGGGGCAGATTTTTGCACCATTGATCCGCAGCAGTTTCAGCACAGTCATGAGAACCATTTCAGATTCAGAACAGACAACTGGGACCGAGATCAGAACTCAGCACCCGGTACTGTGCATCCCAAAGCACCAAAAGGAGCAGGAATACAAGACAAAGATGGACTTCAGTGCCCAGATTGCATGGACAGAAAATTGCGGTCTGGCCACAGCAAAATATGGGACAGCGCTTTCCTCTGGAAACGGGGACTCTCTCGAGCTGAGAGGACACCCTACTGGAGTCTAAGTGGAGTTTCTTTATTGTTCCACTTCTAGATGCGTGGGTGGCCACTGAGTGCTGTTGGTATCTTGAGCAAGGAGCTGGATCACTGTTGGTTCAGACTCTAAGGACAGTATCTTGAGCAAAGAGCAAAGAGCTGGATCACTGTTGCTTCAATATCTGAGGACACACTTACATCAATACAAACAAACCAGCAAAGGTTTAACCCGCTAAGGGCTGCGGCACAACAGCAGCCAGCATGCCAAAAAAAAAAAAAAAAAAAAAAAAAAAAGAGAAGTCAGACACATATTGGATGAAAAATAATATGATTGCGTATCACTGCTGATGTAACGCAGGAGGATGGGGAACTCTGCCTGGTATTCTTGTGTTCCTTGCAAGATCTCGATCCCCTCAAGATCCCAACGCTATCCGTAAGGCACTATGGCCCAACCCCAGAGCCAGCAGCCTGGGTGTCCAGGCAGGCTAAATACCAGTTGTGGGCAGCCACCCATGAGTCCCGAAAAACTCTGATGTCAACTGCAGTTGAGGGCATTCTGAAGAGGCTCTTACAGGAGCACAGCTGAGCTTGGCATCCAAATTCCCAGCTGGAGGACAAACTGCCAGTGGTAGGTGTGCTCTGTAAGCCCTCCTGAGATGGGATTACATGGCTGCAGCATCTCTGCAGAGCTACCGTAGCCTGATCCCTGTAGCACAGTCCATAAACATAGCAACAAAGTGCTCTAAGTAGAAACACATTCCCCTACTCCAGCAAAGAATAATACAAGAAAAAGGAAAGGAACAAAAAGACAACGATTCTGCCGGTCATTGGAACCGGGGAACTCCAAAGCCCCTGGGCCAGCTGCTGAGATGCCCTGCTCACATGCGTCGGCATGCGGGGGGAGAGCACAGAGGGATACACATGCAGGTAGAAGTCTCCTTCACAGAGATGCTAAGTCAGAAATCTGAAGTGGCCAGGAAACAAACTGAACCAAAGTCAAATTGCGTGGTGCAGCCAGCCATGTAGGCAGTGGGAGCTGGACGTGGCTTTTCTTCCCTGACATAAAGCCCGTCGCCAGCGACAAGCTTCTCCCAGCCTCAAAAAATTAGCACTGCTGCTTCCAAAACACTGTGCAGATTGCATCTTGGCCCAGGAAGCAGGCGAGCTATGGCTTTGACCAGCTAACCACCAAGGGCAAAAAAAGGGGAGCGTGGCTGGTAGAGTCCTGAGAGCAATTAAGGTGAGTAGCCATCGCTCTCAATCCTACCCCTTCCGTTGTGCCTTCCGGAGCAAAATCTCTCTGCCCCACAAAACAGCCTGTTCCTGACTTAGAGGTCATCTTTTAGTGTTCTAAACTGGCCCCCGCAGCTCCCAGACGCTGCAGCAGTCCCACGAGAGCACGGGCTGCTGGTCATGCTGCCAGGAGAGAGGGCTCCACGTCAGAATCCCTTCCAAGCAAACTGTTCAGACGAGAACTCAGCGCATGGTAACTACATTGAAGCAGAGACAGGTTCGTCTGATCGCATTGTTGGTGGGTTTCTCCTGGTGATAGAGGGTTTCCTTTTCCTTTTCTTCTCTTTCTTTTCTTTTTCCTTTTTTTTTTTCTTTTTTTTTTTTTTTTTTTTCTTTAAATGCTAGACTCTTCTCCCATACTTTTCACACACTCAAGTCCACACGCCATGGTCTGTGGTTATGCCCTAGGAGTCTCCTACACAAAATCAACCATCCAGTAGTCAAGCATGAGAACTTCACGCTAACAGGAAAGATCCCTTTTCCTTCCTGTGCGCATCTCAACCTATACGTGCAGGCATCAAAAACAGACCAATCTGCAAGAAACACCAATATACCAAGGATGGGGCTTCTCAGGGCTTCTAGAAGTTCAGCCCAACTTCAAGACAGCAAAGGGGAGGTGGGGGAGTCGTCACTAACACTCATCTATATTAAGGCTGATGAACTCCTGTATACACTTCCTGTACTGCAGCTCAGTGGGGCTGTTGCTGGGATATTGACCTGGTTGTCCAAAGGGGCCCTCTGCTTCTCGCATTTCCTCATTCATTCGAGCCAGACGCAGCCTAGAGCGAAAGAGAGGAAGTACAAGGGAGAGAGGTTTGGTTATTCTGGCCTCGATGGCTATTTACAGGCAGTGCTCCTGTATACAGGCACTGGAAAGTCCTGGCTGCACTTACAAGGTAACTATGTCTGCGTTGGCTGCCTGGACAGCAATACTGAGCGGGTCCTGCCCGTCACCATCCACCGCGTGCTGATTTGCCCCTCGCTTGAGGAACAAGCAGACCTGACTGCAGAAGGGAAAGAAAAGACCATCAGAGCAGGAATTCCAGCTCCCCCACCCCACACGCCGGAACACGCAGAGGGCACTTCCCCAGGCAGGCACGGCTTCACTTTTATTGGTTTAAGAAAAATCGGGAAGTGCTGCAGTGGCACGGAGAAAGGAACGGGTGTACAGGGGCCCAGTTCCCCCCTATCTATCATCAGGGGGGCAATTACCCTTAAGACAAGCACGTTTTGCAAATAGCCCATTCACCAAACCCCAGCTCCCTTGCCCACCTCACCCCATGACTCCCAGTGCTAACGCTGAATCTCAAGCCAGGGGTGATGGAGCATGTCAGAGCAACGGGCAAAGAACTTACCCAGTATGCCCTAAGTACGTGGCGTGATGCAAGGGAGCCCGGCCCCGGATATCTCTTTGGTTAACATCTGCCCCATTCTGCA